TAGAGGCTATTAAATTGGGCGGGGACAGTAAGGGGAGATGTAGGTAGGGGAGGGACTCTAAATACCATCAAATTATATTGTATAAAAATCACAAGAATTCAATTTAAAAATTGAAAAAAAAGGGGTTTCCCTGTAACCCCAGCTGGCCTGGAACTTGTTATGTAGGCTAAGCTGGCCTCCATCTCATAGAGATCTGCCTGCCTCAGCTTCCTGAGTGCTGGGATTTTTAAAGGTGTGTGCCACCTTTAAATTTTTATTATTTTTATTTTATGTGTCTGCGTGTATTGCCTGCATGTAGGTAAGTGCACTCGTGTCATGCAATGCCCGCTGTCAGATCCCCTGAGACTGGAGTTACGGACAGTTGTTACCTGTCATGTGGCTGCTGGGATTCGAACCCGGGTCTTCTGCAAGAATGATCAGTGTTCTTAATTGCTGAGCCATCTCTCCAGCCCCACAGACTATTTTTTAAAGATTTATTTTATTAATGTGTGTGTGTGTCTGTGTGAGTGTATGCACACGTGTATACCCATGGAAACTGGAAGGGGGCATTGGATCCCTTGGAGCACAAGTTATATGTGTTTTGAGCTGCCTGTGTGTGGGTGCAAGGAACTAACCTGGTCCTCTGGTAGAGCAGTAAGTGCTCTTAACTGATGAATCCTCTTTCCAGCCCCCAAAGATTTTGAGTTGAAGAATAATTACGTTTTTCTTCCTCTTCCACGGGAAAAGGTGGGTTTAGAGCACTACACGAAGGTTGTTGTGTCAAGCTTGTTACTCGTCTCTTTCCTTCCTACTTAAGAATGAGATTTGTTAACATTACGTATATAGTGTTACTGCTTCAGAGCGTGTTTGAGCTCTTCCCCACAGACAGATGCTGTTCTAATCCTGGATTGCTATTGCTAAAACTAAAATTTTAAAGCTCCCCCCCATTAATTAAAAATTATGGGGACTGGAGAGATGGCTCAGCAGTTAAGAGCACTGGCTTGCTCCTGTGGATGACCCGGGTTCTATTCCCAACTCCCACATGGTGGCTAACAAGCATCGGTAACTCCACTTCCAGGGGATCCGACATTTCGACCAACACCATTATTGCATGACATGGGTGCACTTACATACATGCAGGCAATACACTTATAAAATGATCACAAATATTTTATTTTTAAAAATAAAAAAAATATGGTTAATCAAACCCTTTTATTACTTTTGTAGAGCAGTAGATGAATCGGAAAAGCTAAAGCACTTAATGCTGAAAGGGAACTAATTCATTCCCTGCACAGAATGCTGAAGTTGTGGGGAGACCTTTGAAAAGGACTAGTACTCTCAGCTGTGATGGCGTGCCTTTAATCCCAGCACTTGGGAGGCAGAGGCAGGCTGATCTCTGTGAGTTCAAGGTCAGCCTGGTCTACAGAGTGAGTTCTGGGTCAGCTGGGGCTACAGGGAGACCCTGTCTCAAAAAGACAAAAAGAAAGGTCTAGTACTCATATTGTGGAAGTGCCTAAGCTAATGAGTGGTGAGTCTCCAAATGTTACCTCCTGAATCCTGGTGTTCTATGCCCTGTACCTCACTCTGTAGTGAGTGCCCCTTAGACTAGCGGTCATCTGTTCTAATGTCAGTTACTTCGTTCAGTTTTGTAGAAATACTAAAATTACTAGCATTAAGGCATACTGATAATGGTAATTTACATGGTCTCGATCGAATTTATTTCAGAAGATGCATTGCTGCAATCTTTTGACGTTCGCCAGCTGCCACCTTGTACACATAAAGCGATAGGGATGGGAAATTTCTCTTTGCAGAAAGTGACTTAAAATTGATCTCCAAATAGGGATGCCTGCCCAGCAGGCTAGGGCTGTATAAACAGCACTGGCTGTGATCCTGTGACTGCGTCTACACACTTCCTGTCTCACTCAGCTTACCTCCACCACCATTTTGGAAGCAATCCTTATGTTTTAGTCTACCAGTGGCTTTACTTGTATGACCTTGGCAAAATGGGAGCCCACATAGGCAAGGTTCAGTTATTCTGCCTATTTCTCCTTGTTCAGTTTGCCTGGAAGCCTTTCTGTGTTTGAGTTTACAGAGAACCACGTATAGAACACAGCTTCTGAGTATTTGAATGAATGGCTCAGGAACTCAATTAGGCAATTAGCAATTTTCTCTCTAAGGTAAAGCATTTTATCTTAATTGTTTACCTAGCAGAGACTGATGAGGATTTTGGAATTCCAATTCCAATATATTTTCTTTTTTGTATCCCCCAAAGGCTTCTCACGGAAGTATTAATATAGAAGCAGTGTTAGTAGTCCCTGAGATAGCTCAAAGGTATAGAAGGATGCTTCGTGCTCGATTTATGACCATAGACTTGGAACTGGCTGATGGCAGGCGTGCCTGGGTCGGTAGTGTTTCAGAAATGTTTCAGTAAGTTATTCATGTTTAAGTGGGAAATTTCACCAAAGCTGATTCCTGCTTCTCTTGGAAACACCTTTGGTCTGACAGTGCCGGTTCCTTGCACAGTGGAATTCCAGCCGTCCTCCCACATTTGTTACTTGATGGCCCATGCTTCCTGTCTGGAGAATGGGATGGGCAGCAGGTAACCTCTCCTTTCACTGCAGGTTCTCTTGATGTCACTGAGGAGTGAGAACCAGAGTGAACAGCAGATAACCTGCACAAAACAAATCCTTCCCTGTTGAGCAGAGCTGGAAGGAGTTTCTGTGAACTGCAGGTGCCCTTGTAGGGGTGCCTGCAGTAAGGACCAGGCACCCCTCAAGGTCCTGCCTCCCCATCTGATGAGGCACTAGTCTACCATTTAGTTTTTATCTTGGACCAAATTTTGGAATTCAGTGACCAGAATATTTCAAACTTTTTAAAAATTTTGTATGAGTGTTTTGCCTACATGTATGTAAGTCCATCTGTACATGCAATGTATTTGGAGGCTAGATGGGGGCATTGGATACTCTTCCTGGAACTGGAGTTGCAGGTGGTTGCAGGTGCTGGGAACCAAACCCCAGTCCTCTGCAGGAGTGGCCAGTGCTCTTAACCGCTGAGCCACTTCTCCAGACCCTCAACTTTCAACTAGGTCTGTTCACACCTTTCTTGCAGCCAGGCACTTTATTTCCTCCCGGAACGGCCCAGCAGTTGCTTCCTTTTCAGATCCTTGCAGTCTTCTCGTTGCTTAACAGATTTAAAAGCCTAAGTTACATAATCGTTGGCAATAAACATTTGTCTCCTTAAGTTCTGGCAGTGTAAATAATTAAGGAAAGGGAGAATTGTTATTAGCCAGAACTACTGTCTTGAGACTGTGCTTGAAAAACGTAGAGGGTGGCGTCTTCAGCCTGTACCTGCATTTCTCTGGGCTGAGTTCTAGCTCTGAAAGAATCCTCTGACATGTCTTCAAAACCAAGAACTTTGAATTGTGCACTCCCATACATAATGTGAACCAAGAGAATTTCTAGGAAGAAAATTGGTGATGTCCATCAGCTTCAAATACATGTAACTCTGTAATTTTGGTGCTGAGTGTCTATGTACATGTCCTGCTGTAGGGGAAGACATTCATGGGGAAACCCAGTGTCACCTCTGGGGAAGACATGCATGGGAAGCTCAATATATCACCTCAGGCCTTCTAAAATAACCTGAAAACAGAATATTGAGTAGTTATTCAAAAGAACAAGGTAAGGGGCTGGAGAGGTAGCTCAGGGGTTAAGAGCATTGGCTGATCTTGCAGATGGTCCAGGTTTGGGTCCCAGCACCCACATGGCACTGAACAACCATTGCCCTCTTCTGGACTCCACAGGCATTGCAGGACATGGGTGTACTTACGCGTGTGTACAGATAATATACAAATACACATCAATTTTTTTAAAAGAATGAGGTAGGGGCTGGAGAGATGGCTCAGCAGTTAAGAACACTGGCTGTTTTTGCAGAAGACTTGGGTTCGAATCCCAGCACTCACATGGCAGATAACAACTGTCCATAACTTGAGTTCCAGGGGATCCGACAGCCTCCTCTGTCCTCCGTGAGCATTGCACAACATGGGTGCACTTACCTACATGCGGGCAATACACGCGTACACATAAAATAAAAATAATAAAATATTTTTAAAAACGAAGTAAAACAATTGCATACTTTGAGGAACGTAAAGGCAAGGTACAGGACGTGGTTTGTTGCCTTTTGTGTATGCTGGAGAGCGTCCCAGGGCCACGCGCATCCTAAGCATGTGTTGCCACAAGAGACACTGTGTGCTTTAACAGCTGTAGGACGCACCAGAACTGGATGCATGGCGGTTACTTGTGCAGATAAGGAGTGGGAAAGGAGCTTTGGGGTCTGAATTACTGGATTCATGACTGACAGCTTTGCTCTGCTAAATATGGAGTAATACGGAGTTTCTGTGCTTGGAATGTTTCTATGTCTTACCTAATGGGGATGTGTGGACAGACAGGGGTTCAACAAAGACCTGCTGTTGGCAGATCTGCAGAACCAACCATGGTTAACACCAGAGCGCAGTGGAAGACTCATATCCAGAAAGGTAGTTTCTTATTTATTAGGCTTTTATTAAATACGTCTCTGAAAGGCTCAGGACACCACCAGGAGCTTTAGTTAGGACTGAGATGTAGATGCAAGATCAGCACAGACCAGACTCTCTGCTCCTTAGCTCACATCCAGCATAACTGTCCTTTGAACCAGAGCCTCATAAACTTGAAGTACTCGGTGGCACCACATTTTTGTTGATTTTTAAAAGAAAAGTGTTAAATGGAAACCCAGTTTTCAAAAATGCTTTTAAAGGCCAACAGATGCTTTTAAAGGCCAACAGTTAGCTTAGGGGAAGGGAAAAAAAGCATACCCTCTCTTCACATAGTAAGTCTGCGTGGGCTTTGCCACAGGAAGCTCATCTTTGTAATCTGGGCTCATCACCTGCTGGCATGACCTCCGCCTGCCACAGGTAGAAACACCCAGACAGCTGCTCGTGGTTTCACTGTATATTCCCAAGGTGTGTGGGGTTTGTCCATTTTTACATTTATACAGTTTACATTGCTTGACCCATAAATATCACTTGTAAGATTAACAGGGCCCTAGTAACAAGTATTTACATAGCCCCACCATGCATACAGAGCCTTTTTCAATATTGGAGAGGGAGAAAAACAACTTTCTATCACTAGGCAATATAGAGTTGACTGTCTAAACTTATAAACCCTGACTAAAATACAAGCAATTATCTCATCCATAAATGCTGTTTCTGATTTCCTAACAAATCTAGCATGGCAGTGTAGCAAATATCTTGCAATTCAGGGATATAAAAATATCAGGTTTAAAATCTGAAATATACAGTATATACATTAATATTTGCACCGTTAAATTAGGAATATACTTAAGTCTATGAAATACTACATTATAAATAGCATTTTTTTCAATCTGTAGCTGGAACTAATACAATGTTTACCTGGCTACTCGGGGCTGAAGGGGACAAGGTTGCCTCACACATAGGATGCACAGTGGTAGCTAGGTCGTCGTCTGGTGACGTGCATGCCTCATAAGACACCGATCAGGACCTGCCAACCTGGCTGAAGTCATGACAAGCACTATTGCTTTACAGAGGTGGCTGGTGCTGTCCATCGTCTAAGATGGCAGTCTATCCAACCACCTTGTGACAGTTTCTGGAATATTCTCTTACGGACTGGAGACCAGAGTAGCTGTCCGAAACTGTCAGGTGTACCTGCCACAGGCAGAAGACGTTGTGTCACTCTGGCACCATCTAAGAAGGTAAACTGAGGAACCACACCTTTCAAATGGTAATGTGACACTGTAAACAGCAGTAGGGTTCTCGTTTACACGGGCCAAGAAAGCACTTTAAACTATTTAAGCAACTTTCCTAAGGAAGAAAAAAGGTGAGAGTCCAGGCTAAATGGTTAAGTTCTAAGCCAATCATGTCCATGTACTTGGTTAAGAAATAATGCAGTTTTTGCCCTTGTGTCCCTTCTTCCTCTTGGGTTTCGTCATCCTCTGAGTAAACTGTGGGGTGGGCAGTGCGGACGCTGGGCGAGGAAGGTCCTCTGGGTAGTAGGCGAATCTCTGTGGCCGGGGCTGTGGGATGGGCTGTCCGAGGAAATAGCCTTCTTCCTCCGAGTCGGAGGACGATGAGGATGAACACCAGGAGTCGTCGTCCTCGTACAGCCCCAGAAACCTGTTCATTCCTGGGCTCTGCAGGGCGTAACCAGGTACGGCCGGGGCGAAGCGGCCGCTCTGCATGCGCGCCCGAGCCCCCTGACTCTGGACAAACGCCTCGTAGTCGGCAGGGGCGCGGAGCCACGGTCGGTCCCGCGGGGAGCACTTCCGGTCCGCCAGCAGGTTCAAGGCGTTGTCAGAGCGCGACCTGCGGCTGCGGCGGCGGCGGGGAGGCCGGGATCCCCGCTCCTCCACTTGGTAGACACGCCTCCGAGTCCGCTCGCTCAGTGGAGGCTGCCGGACCTCCACGGCCTCGTAGCTGCCGCGGTCGACAACGTCGTCGGAAAACTTGACCTGCTGTGGCCTGGACTGGGACTTGGACCGTCTGAGCGCCGGCAGGTGTAGCGGCTTCTCGGGCCCGGGTCCTTCCGGACACAGCTCAGAACTCAGGCTCTTCAGGGACTCGGCGCTCCTGTGTAGCATGGAAGAGTTGAGCGTTCCCATGTTGCTCGTCTTCTCGCAGCCCTCGGCTTCCATCTCTTCGAAGGTTTGCAGCGGATATAGCGCCGGCCTTGGCTTGTTCTCAGCGTCCACCGACGCTGCTACAACCCAGAACAAGGCGTTATTCTCAGCAGCACTCACCCGCTGGCCCTTGTTAAGCCGCCAGAAAGCACCCCAAAGAAAATGTCCTCTCAGGATTTGATATAAGCCCAGACAGGAAAGCCAGTGTGTGTGTGTCACTTACCAACTGAGAAGCATGAATTTAAAAATACATTTTTTTACGTGTATGAGTGTATTGCCTGCATGTATGTGAGAGCACGTGTGTTGTGCAGTGCCAGAGGGGAGAAGCATGAATTTTGTTCATGATAAAGGGAACCAAAAGATCGCTTTGGCACAGGGCACAGCGGCAGACATGTACCGCCTCCTCGCAGAAGTCTCTCCTTTATTAGTAGAGACCATAAACACAGCCTCACTTATCTGTGGACATGTTCTGGGGCCTCCTACCCTAATGGACTGGCCTGAAAGGGACACGTTTAAAAGAAAAGGTTTGCCAGCCCAAGCCTACAGCGGAGCCAGTTTCCTTCTACCTTTAATTCTCCAAATAGGCCACTTCCAGACGGATCTTATTTCAAAACTTTTTCAAAACTGTGATTCTGTTAGAATGTGACATAAGCAAATTAAATATCTATGAACCCGTGTGAGGACAGTGAGAGGCTGGTGTGGGCTCCTGGTAGCCGACACTGCAATTGAGATTGCAATCTCCTACTTTTTAAAGTTGGCTGTCTTTCAGTCCATTATATTATCAAGGACTGTCAGCCCCTAGCTTTTCTTTTTTTCAGGGGCTGGGGACTGAACTCAGTCCCCATATGCACTTACATATGCTAAGTGAAAGCTATACAGCTGCACTTAGATCACCTTCAGATCCTGCCCTTAACCCAAGAACTTTCCCTAAATTCTACCTGGGTTTGGTAACAGATTAAACTACCTAACACGAAGCCTGGCAGTCTCACTCACCATGTGCCCCCAGCTCCCCTTTATAGCACGCCTCATCTCTGACAGGTCAGAAACCAGAGGAAGCTGTGCCTTATCCCTTCTACACAGACCAGTCAGGCAGAGGGCAGCACTCAGCCCTTTCCTGGATGAATTACAATATAATGAAAGGACTAGGTATTACTAGTTTGTGAAACTAAGACACATAGGAGTAACATTGGTGTCTAAAACCTAATTGCCCATGCGATTCATGTAAAAGGCTGGCTTCTAGGCCTGGCCTTATCCTCAACACCTGGGTAATGTTAAAATTTAGCTGTTAAGCATTTCAAGTTTCCTCCTATTTAAAATGTAATGACATATAACCTGTATAGCTCAGGGTCATTTTAAACATAAAATGTGGGTAACTAATAAGAATGTGCCTTGGAAACATTAAAGTACTATTTTATAATGAGAAAAAAATGCTCAGATTTTTCTGAGCTATCTCTTGCCACAAGGCAGTTTTGGAAAATGCTTTTTTGAAAGTTATGAGCTTCTAACCACGCTCGGGCCAGTTTTAATATCTTAAAATTCATATAGCACAATCCAAAGAATCCAGCCTTGCGGCCAAAATCCAGTCTCAGACTTCCTCACCCAAGGCGATTTCCTCCCATCACAAAAGGCTGTGTTCAGAATGTTTTATATATACACATTTTCCTATAAGGACACCTTTGTTTGGCTACAGTATGGCATTTAAATGAAACACCTTTGTTTCCTTAGTCCAGAGTTTTAAATAACACAGCCCCTACTGGCATGGCGTTCACTGCAAACTCCCTTTTCAAACACCTCATAATCCCTAAGTAACATACCTGTAATATTGGACAAAGCCAGAGAATCCATAGAATCCCGAACACTCTGTTCTGGTTTCAGGTCAGATAAACACTCCAGGGAATCTTCATACCACTGGGTTTGGTTGTGACTGTATCCGGCAGCACCATGGTCCAGGTCGAGTTCCTGCAGCCTTCGGCTGCTGGCAGGACCTGGGTGGCTGCCGTAGGCAGAGTCACCCAGCCCATCCTGTGACTGGGCCCAGTACATATCAGACTGGTACTTTTTACTTGCGAGGCTCTGGTGATTTTGTTTTAACTCGGGCTTACTTTTCACCATGTTGTCAGGTATCCAGTGCTCACTGGCTCTAATATCTACCTCACTGGGCTGCTGCTGAAAGAGGCTTTTATCCCCAAACTTGAGGAGAAGCTGTGTCATGTAATCTTCGTGCTCAGCCCATTCTTCAGGGTCTTCGGCGGCTTCTTGCTCTACTCTGCCTTTCCAGAATTCCTCATCGGCAAAACCTGCTCCCTGCCTGGAGAGACTCAGGTCATCCAGCTTCTGAGAAAGGGTGTCATCTGCTTTGCCGGACAGACCCGGAAACTTGTAGTTCAGAGCAGGTGACAAGAGCAGAGACTGTCTGCACTGATCTGCCGAGCGACTGCTTTTGCCCATCCGGACACTCCTTCTGGAGTCTCTGGATCGGGCTGACTGGAACGCAGAGTCGGAGGAATCAGAGGCATGCATGTCTTCCCCGAGGCTGCAGGTCTTTGAGCAATAAATCTGACCTTGTTTAGGAAGAAAGGGGCAGCCCAACAAAGAAGCCTTACACTGGGCACAGGAAAAGCAGGCCTCTGTGGCGTGCCAGTGCTGCCCACCATAGGTCATCTGTGCATGGTCCACCCCTATTTGGAAAAAGGATAGGCAAGCTGTTACAGTTTACTGTTGGAAATAAGGAAGAAACAGAAAATGTGGACAGAAGGGAACTCCATTGACAGAAATGTTGTGTATCATTTTTCTTTATCCTTTTGAGTCCAGGCTACCCCTAAACTCACTTTATAGCTCAGGTTGGCCTTGAGTGCCTGAACGTCCTGCCTCAGCCCCTGAATGCTGGGAGTACAGGTGTGCATTACACCCGGTTGTCTTGATCTTCTCAGGTGTGAGTATATAGGCTTAGTTAACCCTCCTTATTTATAGTCTGTACTTTTCAATTTATCTACTTGTAAAAATTATTTGTAATCCCAAGATTGATAGCCACGACACTTTTCGTGGCCTTCCGCCGACACGCAGAGTAATGAAGGTTTAAACTTAGCAACACTTGCTCCTCACTGAGGGATTTGGTTTCAGCTCCTGTACTATAAACAAGTGTTCTGCTCATGGCATGTTTCATGCCATGGTTTTTGCATTTTGGTGCTTTTTTTGTTGTAGATACAAAAGTGGCCCCAGGCGTCATGTTAAAATGCTGCTTAGCGTCCTAAGCACATGCAAATCATGTATTAGATAAGCCATAGCCACAGTGTGGCAGGTGATGAAGACAATATATATTCAGTAAAGAGCCCAAAACACAAGACAGGGTTGTGTGCTGACAGATGGTAAAAATGGTTCAACCGGGGCTGGAGAGATGGTTCAGCAGGTAATAGTGCTAGCATGGGCTGCTCTTGCAGAGGACCTGGGTTCAATTCTCAGCATCCACCTAGGGCCAACAACTGTAACTCCAGTTCTGGGGGAATCTGACTCCCTCTTCTGGCCTCTGTGGGTATTGTACCCACAGATGCACATACATACATGCAGGCAAAACATTCAAACACATAAAATAAAAATAAATTTAAAATGTTGGGAAAAAAGATGGGAGGCTGGAGAGATAGCTCTGAGGTTAAGCGCACTGGCTGCTCTTTGAAGATTTGAAGATGATCTGGGTTCAGCTCCTAGCACCCACATGGTGGCTAACAACTATACATAATTCAGTTCCAGGGGACTCTGATCCCCTCTTCTGGCTTCCATAGGTGTTGCATGCACAGGTGCACTTACATACATGCAGACATACACTCAAAAACATAAAAATAGCCAGGCATGGTGGCACACGCCCTTAATCCCAGCCCTTGGGAGGCAGAGGCAGGCAGATCTCTGTGAGTTTGAGGCCAGCCTGGTCTACATAGTGAGTTCCAGGACAGCTGGGGCAACAGGGAGACCCTGTCTCAAAAAGACAAAAAAAAAAAAAAGTAAATTTTAAATGCTGCAACCAGGGCAAGGAGGTAGTTATACAGCACTTCCTTAGCATATGCAGGTCCATGGGTCCCATCCCCAGCATCACCAAAAAAAGAAAGTCCCCAGAGGTTCACAGGAATTTTTTTTTTTGTCTTTTTGAAGCAGGGTCTCCCTGTAGCCCCAGCTGTCCTGGAACTCACTATGTAGACCAGGCTGGCCTTGAACTCACAGAGATCCTCCTGCCTCTGCCTCCCAAGTGCTGGGACTACAGGTGCCACCAGGCCCAGCTGGTTCAAAGGAATTTTAACTGTGTGTTTCCCCAGAAAATACAGCCCCGTGTTCACAGAGTCAGTGTCTGCTGTTGTGAACAACTGGAATCCACTGTTGATCTGTCACTCAGTTAAAAGCTATGACCTTCAGTACATTTACACTGTACCTCAGTTTTCACAAAAGTTAAGGAGGAAGCAAGGCTGTGGCCCCTACCACTGGATGCGATGGGGCTGACCATGTGGGGACTTACCGATATGCTCCCCGCAGGTTTCACAGTACTCAGCATAGAGAGACTCGAAGCAGCCACAGCAGAAGGGGCGGCCATCCTTCATGATGTACCTCTGTCCTCCCAAGACGGTCTCACACTCGAGGCAGCAGAAGTGTTTCATGTGCCAGTGGCGCCCCTCAGCTTCTGTGCACTCATCAGCAAAGATGATCTTTAAAAGGAAAAGAAGGAAAATTGGCATGAACTATTTCAAAGGCTATTTTCTGGCAGCTAACACTGCTCTCAAATCAAGAGACGGGGGCCTGCAGGAAGGGCCCTGTGCAGGTGCAGTTCCAGCTTAGGGATTCCTTTGGTGGTGATGTTTTCGCTGGGGGTGGCCTTCATGGTGGTTTAGCACTCTGGGGAAGGCTCCCCGCGGCGGAGCAAGGCCTCATTCCTGCCCAGCTGCGAGGCACTGTAGTCTTCAGATACATGCTGAGCGAAAACAGCTGCCTGGACAAGACCCAGGAACAAGGAGAGCAGGAGGAAAGTGCAGCTGGCACTGGAGGAAGAAATAGCGAGTTTGAGGCCAGTCTGGGCTACGTGAGACCGTCTCTTTAATAAAAGGTAATTGAATGCCTATATTTTTAACTTTAAAAAATATTTTATTATTTTTATTTTATGTGTATGAGTGTGTTGCCTGCATGTATGTGAGTCCACCTGTGTTGTACAATGCCGTGGAGGTCAGAAAAGGGCGTCGGATTCCCCTGGAACTAGAGTTAAGGACAGTTCGTAGCTGCCACATGGGTGCTGGGTGCAGTCAGTGCTCTAAACCACTGAGCCATCTCTCCAGCCTTATTCTTAACTTTTCAACTTTACTATTATGCGTTACTTCATCTTAAATCTTATTGTAACTTTATCTTTTGAGCTCTGTAACTTAAAGAGAAAAACCGTGTGTGTGTGTGTGTGTGTGTGTGAGAGAGAGAGAGAGAGAGAGAGAGAGAGAGAGAGAGAGAGAATAGTCACTATAAAGACTTAAGGCACCCGAGAGAGAGAGAGCACCAACTGTTTCAAAAAAACAAAAACCAAACAGAAATCTAAATGAAGTCTATATGGATAGCCACTGCTATTACTGAATGGTAATCCTTACTTGGTATCTATACCAAGGTTATTTAAGATGTTAGCACACGAAGGGAGGGGTATACAGTAACTATCTATGGTATCTTCAACTTTTCCACAAATTTAATTTAGTTTAAAATAAAAAGTTTGCCAGGCATTGTGGCACATGCCTGTAATGGAAGGAGGCAGGAGGATCAGAAGTTGAAGGTCAGCCTCAGCCTCATAGTAAGTTTGAGTCCAGCCTGAACCAAAGGCGGCCCTGTTTCAAAAAAAAAAAAAAAAAAAGCCCAAAACCAAAAAGACACAAAAAGAAACAGCGTAAGAAAAAGAAATTCATTTTATACTGTCATCTATTCTCGCCTGTGCCCACTATGTACTGTCTTTCCATAACTTTTCCCAGTATGTCTACTATGTTGAATTCTTTTTTCCTCTCCTATGTTCAAAGAAATATGACCAGGGCTGGGGAGATGCTCAGCGGTTAAGAGCACTGGCTGCTCTTGCAGAGGACCCGGGTTTGGTTTCCAGCACCCACATGGCAGCTAACAACTGTCTGTAACTCCAGTTCCAGGGAATTCAATGCCTTCTTCTGACTTCCATGGGCATTGCATACACGTGGTATGCCTACATACATGCAGACAAAATATTCATACACATAAAATAAAAATACATTTAAAAAAATTTTAAAATAACACCATGTGCCACATAGTTTCCTGCAGCCTGTTTTCCCCTACATCTGGTAAGGGACATCATCCTTGGAAAAGCCAGACAAACCTGCTGTGCTCTTTGTTCCCCACACAGTACCAGCTGTGAACACGCAGGCTTATCCTAAAACATCCACACATAACAAAAGCAGGAGATGGCATAATTGCTTAGATGTGAACAGTGGAATGTTGGCATACTATTTTCTTATTTTTTCCATCATTAAGGGATGGACTTTGTATTTTACCTCATCACATGCTGAGCACCGTGGCTTGAGAAGTTCCGCATGGTGCCTGCCACAGTGAATTTTTCCATCCTGATAAAAATAGATGAGGTCGACCAGTAGCTCATGACACGTGAAGCAGATGAAACAGGATGGATGCCAGCACACTCCAGGGCCCGCGCGGGAGGCGAATACTGCCACTTCCCCTCCGCTGAGCTTCAACCCACACTAAAGACAAAGGTTTGGAGTTAAAACAGTCCTTTATTTAAATTACTGGGTTCTTAGTGCTTCCTGCTTTACAATAAACCCCAAATTTATTAGGAAGACTTTCATTTTTGTCTCCTGCTGGTGATTAAATAGCTGTCCAAGTTGGATCACTTGTGGTTCTTGAAGGTAACCTCAGAGAGCCTGCTCTTAGTGGGTCTGCCCTGATCTTAGAGGCTGTCCTGCAGGGTGCATCTCCCAGTCTGATAGCTGTCATGGGAGATCATGATGTCTTCACTGTGTCTCTGTTTTTTAATACTGGGTGTTCCCCACCCAAGGCACTGTTCCTCTCACCCCCGGGTTTATAGGCAGACAGAATGACTCCTGCTGTGCAGTTGTGTGGCCAGTTGTTATTGCTTTCTTATCTTTTTGAGATTTCGAAGGACATACTTAGAGGCCATCAGTCAACACACCAAATTACTCCCTCTATATCACCCCCCACACAGCTGCCCTCCTTCTAGAAAGCACTACCTGCTCACACACTGCGTGCATCACGGCCCTGGACAGGAGTTTAATTGTTCCTCTTCCGAGAGCTTCTTTCTTCCTTTGAGCACTGAACACCTGCAACTCTTTTTTCTCCTCTTCGCTCAAAGCCTGGCAGTACCGAACCTTCACAGAAAGGAGAGAGGAAGCCCAAGCTGGCGGGCGGGCTTCTTCACCCGCCCTATTCCAGAGCGTCAGGAAACAGACCACAGTCCCCGTTGCCCTGGCTCAAACCCTCAGTTTTTCAGTGGTGGGGACCCCCCAATCTCAAGGAAAGGGAAACACTATTTAAAGCACAGACATGTCTTACTGTTTTCTAAATCTGAATTGTTAGTTTCAGCCCCAGGCACTCGGTGGGCTTCAGGCCCCACTGCCATGAAGCGCTCACTCAAGAGCGAGGGACAGGACAGCTCAGGATGTGTGGGCTCCTGAAAATTGGTGGGTGGCTGAAAACACTGTAAAAACCAACGTGTGTGAAGTTTCCTGTTGGGACACCGTTTTCTCTCTCAGGATGCATTTTAAATGAAGAGAGGCACATCCAGGAGCTGGGCTGTGAGGAGCTGGGCGCAGACACCCCTCAAGTGCTTGGGGGTTCTTTTCTTTTTTCTAATTAGCCTTCTTCCTGCTACTTTACCTCATTATCATGTGGTGGCAACTGGTACAAAAGCTGTTTGATCCGGTGCTTCTCTCCGGGGCTGTTTACATAAGGAACCTTGTCCTCTGGCAAGCACGCAAAGTAGAGCTGGATCTGCAGAAGCAGCACAGGATGACATCAGGACAGGGAAGGTCGCTTAGTCTTTCCCCTTTCCTCCTTACAGGGTTTGGCCTCCTGCAGCTAACAGACCAGCTGAGCAGGCAAACCTGCAGCTAACTAGCATCCAGCTGCTAAGTTGCTTCTCAGGAATGCAATTTGTAGTGACAATAAAGGGTGTCATAAATTATGCGCTATCAAATATGCATATTTACTGTTACTGCTCCCCAGCCAGTCTTCCAGGGGTCAGCTGAGGGATCAAAGGAGAGTCTTGGGTGACTTTTGCAAATGACCACACAGGCTGTGTGACACTATCCACGATTTAAACATACTCAGTTTGCTCTCTGAATTTTTTGAAATCATTTTATGTGTGTGAGTGTACTGCCTGCATGTATGAAAGTGCACCTGCGCCATGTGCTGCTCTTGGAGGTCAAAAGAGGGCATTGGATTCTCCTGGAGCTGGAGTTATGGTCAATTGTTACCTGCCTTGTGGATGCTGGGAATCAAACCTGGGTCCTCTGCAAGATCAGCCAGTGCTCTTAACCGTTGAGCCCCTGAAAACTTCATTTTTATTTTTCTGTTGTCTTAAGGGACTCAGACAAAAAAGATGAGGGACCTTGGGACCTGTCTGCTAGTTGCAGTACTACAAAAATGTACCTCCTAAGAGGTAAGGGATTCTTTCCAATAAGTGGTTTGTCCAAGTGCTTCCCTGATGAGTACAGAGGCACAGCTCTGCCTCCCTCCTGGTTCTACAAACCTTTTACTTTCCTAATTGTTAATAGACACTTATGCACCAGCTCCTGGATCTTCAAAGGCGTTCCCACCTTCCAGGAATAACTTGGCCATACACTCAACCTTTTATTTCAAAGAATATCTTTGCCTGTATAAAATCTATCACCAGCAATTTTTAACAAGTTCAATATAAGGATATTGGGGAAATAAAAATAGGCATATATATTATTCTCCTCTCGACAAAGCGCCGAAAAGCTGATGTTTGGCCAAGGTCCACCATGTGGTGACAGGCTTGTCAAACAAAGGTCAAATTTCTTGGCACCACCACATTCCTCTTGCAAAGCAAAAGCACTGTAGAGAACTGGTCCCCAAGTTGACTTTTATTTCCGTGGTTGTCACTGAAATTTTAAAATGGGTAAGAGCACAGCTTAGTGGCCCATGCTCTTCAAGAGTCCCAGTGCTCTTTAATCCAACACTCAAGCAGAGGCAGAAGAATCTCTGAATTTGAAGCCAGCCTTGTTTATATACAGAGTTCCAGGCCAGCCTGGGCTATACAGTGAGAGCCTGTCCCCAAAATACTCCAAAAACCAAAGAGGTAAAGTTCTTCCCACCCCTGAAGCACAGCCCCACAACCAGCATTCCTGTCATCACACCAGCCGATCACTGGGGCCATGGGCCGATGGGATCCCTGAACGCAAAGACACAGGGACCTTCCACTGAGAGGCCACACTAGACCTTAAAGCAGAGCTTCAGAGCTATGAGAAGAGGAGTGAGGACTAAGGGTGTGTGCCAGCATGGGCACGAGGTACCACATCTCAAGTACCCGAAAAGCCAAGGAGACCGGAGAGGTGGGCTCCTACCTGCTCTGGCCGGAGGCCTGGTGGGACCCAGGCATACTCCTCCAGTGCACAGCCAGAGTCATCGTCTGATGTGGAACTTCTCTGACACCCAAAGGCCAGTTTGCTCATTTTGGGCTCCATCTCCAACGGCATAGTAATAATAAAGCTTGTCAGTCACAGGGCATCGGATAACAGCTGCTGTGGGTGATACAAGAAAAAAAAAAAAAAAAACGGAAATGTAAAGACATGAATGCATTGCTTTTACTTTCTAGGAGCATTTATTTCATAGCTGTTTACACATAGTTGAGCCCAGAGGAAGTAATCAAATGCCTGGTATCTCTCCTTCCAATCCCTAGAGCCACTGAAGCAACTAAGAAACGATCCCCTCCCAGCCTAGAAAAACTCTGCCAGAGTATTTTTAGTTGCCTTAAAAATATGCCTCTTTAGCTGGGCATGGCAGCACACGCCTTTAATCCCAACAACTTGGGAAGCAGAGGCAGGCGGGTCTCTGTGAGTTCGAGGCCAGCCTGGTCTATGTAATGAGTTCTAGGCCAGGTGGGGCTAGAGGGAGACCCTGACTCAAAAAGACCAAAAAAAAAACAACAAACCCCCCAAAACCCAGAAACTTCTTTGCAAGTGATTTTGCAAATACCCAAGCAAACTGCCCTGTAGATTTCCTAACTGCAGAGCTGCAAATAAGATTCTGTTAAGTCCTCGGGTTTAGAAAGAAGGGTTAGGAATTGGGCCACTGGCCTCGCCCACTATCACCTAGCTACCAGGAAACATGGCTGCAGAGACCCTAGAACCATACTTCCTAAGCAGGTTTTCTGACTAAGGGAGGCACTGCTGCCTGTTGGTGGTGGGCCCCCTGTGAAGTTCATAAGGGAGGCACTGCTGCCTGTTGGTGGTGGGCCCCCTGTGAAGTTCAGACTTCTAATCCATGGCACCAACCCTAGTTTATACACAGAACAGAAAGAATTCAAGTCTTCTAGAGCTGAACTCATTCAATGAGTTCCTTCAACGGACAGTAAACAAATACAGCACTAAGTCAAAATAAAGTCCAGGTTGCTGACTATTAATGTTTAATCTCATTACCAGCCAACATTTAAAGTTATGCACGGCTTACTGTGCGTGAAATGGAATCAGCGCTCTCCTGGGCAAAGTGAGGTGTTAGATTCCCCCTCTGAATGAAAAGCCACCTCAGATAAAGGGCAATGAAGGTGTCAAGACTGTGTTCTTCCTCCCTCTGAGACCTCAGTCTGTCAGCCGAGACCCTGGTTGGTTAGCTCTGTGTATCATCTCTTTGTTTTCTGGTTCTTAAAAATCACCCCTCAATTAAGTCACTAAGGAAAAGAATGCAACACTCTTCACCACCTGATGGAACTTTTTGTATCTACTCCCTTCCCCTCAAAGAATATAAAGAAAAGAAAACTGCAATTAGTCTCACCCAGTCATTTTAGAGAGAACAGTCCCAGAACATCAAATGAATTGTCCAAAGTCACACAGCTAAAACCCCAAGTCAGACACCCAAAAATTCTCCTGACTTCATAAATGTTCTCATTTGCTTAAAAATGTGGGAAAGGCATTGAAATCTGGAATTTCAACCCAAGAAGAAGGCATTTTTCAGCCCCTCTCTTAATGCCACACTGAATACTTAATGTGAGAAAATGTTATTTATTAAAATGTGACTATCAGAATTTAGTTTTTCTCATGATTCCCCAATGTAAAAGCAAAAATGTGAGCAGTTCCCAAGGGGAGGCCAAGCGTCGTGTGGCTGCAGGTCTTGCCAGCAGCAGGGATGGTGACTCAGCAGACAGTGTTCCAACTAACAGACTTAGCTTTCATCTACCCCAGCAGACAGAAAGGCGGCGTCCTTTCCCACACTACCACCGAGAGGCTAGAACCTTTGGAGCCAGCCACTTCTCACAGGTGCAGTTCATTCATGTCTTGACTTAGCAAAGGCTATCTAAGCAGAGGTGCGTGAATTCCTCTACCTCCTCAGTGGAGAAGGATGTGTTAATAAAAATCAGAAAAGGACTTGGATCTTTCCCCTTTGCTTTGAAAAATCCACCCTCAACCTGTCAAGGGAAGAGAACTAGAGATTAAAACTTTAATTAGTAACTCAAAGTCTCAGCAGGAGAACTGGTATCATCAATGAAATTTAAGGGAGACCCTGAAATAACATTTGTTTCTTTCCCAATCTGGCTGGGGAATGTGGGGGTGGAGATAACAGAGAACATAAATACTAACTAGAAAGTAAAAATTAAATGTCACTCTATTATAAAACAAGAGAAAACACCACAAATTATGACAGACCATGGATTTTTTTCCAAGCTAGCTCACAGATGCAGTTGCCAGAGATTTGGAGTATGTGGCTCTCCTAAATGGCTTTTGGATGCACTGGCCCCACCTTAAACCTATAACTCTCAGAGGTTCACTCCAGCCTTTCAACAAACTACACTGAGGGCTGTCAGTCTCTGACAGCACCAAAGGGTACAGTCTTAGGACCTTGAGAGGCACAGTCATTTTTGTCCTAACCATCCTTCTGGTTCACTGTCAGGATAGGCAGCCTACAGTTTTGTGCCTAGTCTGGTACTATTAGTACTGTGGTGTTTAATTGCTGTATCAAGCAACCCAATGCTGGGCGTCAGAGGATTTGGCTCAGGGTCCGCTCTTATCTAGCAATTTGTCCTTAGGTCAGACCCAAGATGGTGAGAAACAGGCTTGGTATATGTGGAGCTGTGATACTTTTTTCTTAGGGAAAATTCCAAGCACACTAAGCCACAGAATGTGCTAACAGGTTCCATTTCCTGCCTTTGTCCTTCCTCCCCAGCCTCCCTTGAACACAGCTAACTAGCTGCTTCTCACCATTTAAAAAGAACCAAACATACAGCTTGCAGATGCATGACTTCTCAATCATCATATAATTGTCAAGAGAACATCTGACAAAGGTAAGAACAACAACACAGGGAGCAGCCCTGCTGTTCTCCTTGTTCAGGAAACAGGGCTCTGAAGTTCTGGGGCTTTTTGCCAGTCACCAGACATCTTGTGGCCTGGCTCTTTAAAAATAGCAACTGCTCTTCTTCCAAAAGTACTTTGAGACTGCAAAGCAGTTCTCAGTTCGGAGAGAATCCTGTGCTCATAGGAGTCGGGAGTACACAACTCCAGAGTTACTGTGTCAGCTGACAGTTACTCCCACTGGGACTGAACAAGCTTTCTTGAAGCCCACCAGTGCCATTCAAATAGAACATGTTAATAACAAAGGTAGACTGCATATTGACCCTGGATTTTTACCTCCTTTTTTGTGTTCAAGAAGGTTCTAGGCCAAATTATTTACCACCATTTCCAGCTGCACTGGGGACAGCCTCTACCAGTCCCCACATCAAACCTGGACCACATACATCATGAGCACACACAGATCATGTGCAGTGGTCTACAGAGCAGTCCTAGGTTGAGCAATGGCCACACAAGCTGCTGGAATGTGAGGGGCACTTGTCCCCCAAATTAGACCATGGCTTCATTCACCCAGTGACCCACGTAAGAGATGCCTCATGAAATTTACTGTCTAGATTCATCCATACCATACTCTAGTCCTTCTGGGTGTGACATGGAAACCTGTTTGTCACCTGGAAGATGAGAGTAGTTGGGGGGTGGGGATTCAGCCCACCCTGAGCTGCCGTGTAGCACTTCAATCCCTGGCTCTAGCTTTCTGATGACTGTCAAACTTTCTGTGGGTTTTTCTCCACTATCATGTTCTGATTCCACCATGGCTGGCTCTGTTTTTTTTTTAAATTTTATTATTTTTATTTTATGCGTATGAGTGTATTGCCTGCTTGTATGTGAGTGCACCCGTGTTGTACAGTGCCGCAGAGGTCAAAAGAGGGCATCAGATTCCCCTGGAACTGGAGTTAAGATGGTTGTTAGCCATCATGTGGGTGCTGGGAATCAAATCCAGGTCCTCTGCGGGTTTTCCTTTATATGTGTGAGTATTGCCTGCAGGTATGTAAGTACACCCATGTCAAGCAATGCCCATGGAGGTCAGAAGAAGGCGTTGGCTACCCTGGAACCTGAGTTACAGACAGTTGATAGCCACAATGTGGGTGCTGGAAATCTGCTAGAGCAGCATCGAACCTGTCCTCTGCAAGAGCAGTCAGTGCTCTTAACTGCTGAGCCATCTCTCTAGCCCGGCTGGCTCTGTCTTTTATGAAATAGTCTCACTCTTGCCTACAACCAACAACTTTGAAACATTAAAAAAAAAAAAAAAAGAAGCCTGTTGCTTTCAATATTGTCTAAAATGCACAAAATTTGAAGGTGCAAAATGACTGCGTACCAGATGAAGGTCTACATTTCTTCTGTAGGTACATGAGTGGCTCTGACATCGGATGGCATTCAGTATGGGATGGTGTTACTCAACCCAAAGAGCAGCTTTAGTGTTCTTCTCTGAAGTTTGGTTATTAGCCATCACTTTGTTTTCTCCTGAGCTATATATAAGCTCCACCCAGGCAGGATAGCTGAGGGTTAGTGTTCTGACTGATCTTGAGGTAGATATCTATGAGCCCATGCCTTCCTTCCTTTGGAGAGCCTGGGGTTGTAATCAAGGTTTGAGCTGCACAGTAAATAGACACAACACTGTAAAGAGCATCCAAGGCCTATTGTTTATGAAGTTCCAGACGCACCAGAGGATGGCCAGGAAAGAGGAAAACCTATGGAACCCTAAATAGGGTGGCTTGGGAGAAGGAAAGTAGAACCAGCAGCGAAGGGGGAAATAGAATCAGAGCTATGGCTCTGAGTCTTAGCAGACTGGAAGGAGGCATCCTGATTCACAAATATGACCGGGCAGCTCAGAAGATAGTAAGTGTGGCTTCTAGGGAGTCAGGAGCTTGAGTTCAGTCAGATGCACACTGAGGTTATCCTTATGTTAGCTGTTATAGCTCCTATCAGTCATTATTTTCTAGGGCCAGTTCACCGGATCAAATCAAAATCGTGGATATAAGACAATTTTCAATGTCTTCATTGAATATGAAGTGTAAGGTCATAGCCCTAATTATAGTACCTTTTGATGACATTCCATGCCTATATGAAGATTGCTATGGCACCACAGGATCCCTAGGAAAGGACTCTGAGCGTGACTATGCCCAGAGAAGTTAGAAATCCTTTGATCACCAACCCCCTGAACAGATACTGATTTGTGAAGTCAGTTGGGCTAACATTTCCTAGGTGGCCCCTGCTGCTAAGTGCCATCCTGTGGGCCACAAACTTTAACAGCTTCTTTGTTAATCTGCTTAACAAGGCCTTAGAGCAGAGGATGTGGAACACAGACTCCCTATTCAAAATGACTCGACTTCTTCCAAGCCAGATATGCAGGTGAACCAAATAGACAAATTTGGAAGTACAGAAACCTGCCCACTTTGTTCTTTTCAAAAAACAAACTATAGCTTTGAAGGAAATACTCATTCCTTGCTTATCTGTCCTTAGCTTAAAATGAATCCAGAGCGATCAAAACTATTGTAATCAAGGTCTGAGCTGCACAGTATAAACAGACACAACACTGTTATTTCTTTGAAGTTTTCACACAAAGACCGTTCAAGGCCTATTGTCTGCTAGAGTCAAAAGTCAGGACTAACAGAACCCAAGTCAGTTTCACTTCTATTGGACGCCCAAGCATAGCTGTCCCCAGTAGCTGGCACTTATGAAACATCCCTGTACTCAAACACCTCCCTCCAGCAACCGGGGGCTGCAGGGCACTTGCCGCCATTTGGTATTTTCCAGGGAACCTCCATCCAACTTGCACATTTCCCCAGCTGTCATGTTCCACCAGTTGCCAAAAGGGGGGAAAATTATCCATTTTTTCCCAAGAGGAAATGTGGAACTCTGAAAGCATGCTGCCTTCACGCACAAATATATTCCACGACCGAAGGACAGACTGCTTAACAAAAGGAGGAAATTCGTGACAATGCGAGGTGCTTTTTGTGAGCGACGCTCTTCCAGTCATAAGGACACGCTCCCGGTGCACTCTGAGGCCTGTGACAGCCAGGTAGGCTCTGCCCTGAGACCATCACGGAGCACAGTGGGAGGCACACAGGTCTCCAAACTGCTGCCGTCCGTCTCTCTGAGTTTTGGTATTTCTATTTTCAGCGGCGGCCCACGGACTGACTCCAATGTACACAGAGACTCGGGTTTCACCTGGGCACCTGCCGACTCCCAACAACGCTCCCCTTTGTGAGACTTAACTACTCAAAAACGCGCTTCCAGAGGCCACGCCAGTAAAGTGCCTGACGTCCCAAGACGCCAGTGGCGAAAACACTGCACACAACCCCGGTTATCCGCACACACGTCAGCGTCAAGACGTGAGCCTTAAAACCCCGGCTGTGCGAGAGGAAGGATGCTGAGCCGGGAAACCCATCCCGCGGGGAGGGACCCGCCGGGTACCTGCGCCCCAGCCCCGTGACGCCTCCGGCCGCCAGGGGGCGCCCCAGCCGCACGCCCGGCCGGACGCTCGCTGCCTCCGGCCCGGGCGGGCTCCGGGGTCCGGGTGGATGGGGGGGGGGGTCCCCAGGAGGATCGGGGTCTTGGTGGATGGAGGGTCCCGGGAGGATCGGGGTCTGGGTGGATGGAGGGTCCGGGGTGGATCGGGGTCTGGGTGGATGGAGGGTCCCTGGTGGATCGGGGGTCCCCGGAGGATCGGGGTCTGGGTGGATGGAGGGTCCCGGGTGGATCGGGGGTCCCGGGAGGATCGGGGTCTGGGTGGATGGAGGGTCTCCGGTGGATGGGGAGATCCGGGCGGATCGGGGGTCCCAGGTGGATCGCGGGGCCACGTCGGAGGGCAGCCCCGAGCCGCCGCGCCCGCGGAGAGGCCCCAGGACGCCGCCGTAGCCGGAGCCCCGCTGTCCGCGTTCCGCCGGCGGGGAGAAGCACCTCAGCCGCCGCAGCCCGCGGGGACGCACCCGCCCGGCCTCCCGCCGCGTTCCCTTCAGCTCCGGCCAGGGCGCAGTCGCGGCTTTCCCCGCCCTGTCACGGCTGCGGCCCGGCAGGTGTCCACAGACCCGCGCATACTACCCAGAGCCCGGGACCTACCGTTCCCGCTCCATCCCCGCAGAGCTCGGCCCGGACCCCGGGGCCGCGGAGCGCTCCCTGTCCTCAGGTGCTGGCGACTCCCGCTGGGCCCCCAGCGCGAGGAAGGTGCGGCCACCACAGGCTGGGGGCGGTGCCGAGGCTCGAACTCGCGGCCTAGACGGCTGCGCACCCCCCCCCGCCCCCGCGGCCACTTAAACAAATCACCTCCACGCTGCCCGTAACAGGGCCAGTAAGTGGCACGATTAGCCCAGTTCTCACCAGGAAGAGCTCATTAACATGCGAATTCTCCCGTAAGACTTCCTTGCACTTAAAAGTAATTCCTGCGGCTTGGAGCCGGAGGTTTATTTTTTATCAGTAAATAACAGCAAAAGAAACCGGCCAGGCGCAGGGCGCAAGGAAGGAGCTAGTAAAAAAGTTTTTACAGGTAGGTTAAGTAACTATCATTAAAACACTAGAAAACAACCCCACGCACGTTCAGGTTAATTTTGTTTCTGCGCTATTTATAGGGGCTCCAAGAGAGGAATTGCTGTCTACAGCAAGGACCAAGAGAAGCAAAGACAGGCCCTCAAGCGGGTCAGAAAACAATGATATGAATGATCATCAGTAATTAGCAATGAGTTGAAGTCTAAGCCTCTTCTGAACTACAAGTTTTGGTTTGGACAACAACAGCCTTATGAGCAGGCAAGGGGATACTAAGGCAGGGCTGAAAGCACAAGGTTAGGAGTGTCAGCGGTCCTAAAATGTTAGTAAATAAAGTAACCTGAAATGCCACCCATTTCTTAGGTGTCCTACTTAAAAATAATAATTCGGTACCAAGAGGATTCCTTGGGAGTCGTTTGCAATATAAAGATTTCGATTGTGTACAACTGAACAATAGCCTATTGTAACTGTGATTTAAAAATACACAAACAAGTTACCATAAATAGATCCCTCAAGTAAATAATGGTGTGGCCAAATTCTGTTATCTTTGCTGCAAGGCAAGGCAGCTGAAAAGCTGGTTTTTTAAGTTTTTTTTTTTTTTTAAAGTGATAGAGACCAAAAAGTTGTGGCTCTGCTGTTATACTCGTTGGGAAACATTACTTCCGACAACAGGATTTGTGATTCAAATGGATTCCCTGGCCTCTGGGCATGGGAATTTGTATGAAAACTTCTAAGGCATCTTTTCACTGTTAATCAGTGAAATTTAGCATGAACACTGGGGTCAGATTTCTCTTTTCCTTTTTTGATTTTCTATTTGTTAATTATGATTATGAGTCACGGCCTTTCATACAGCCCTGACTGGCTTTAGACTTGCTCTGTAGCCTAGGCTGGCCTTGAATTCCTGATCCCCTGTCTCCACCTCCCAAATGCTGGGATTACCTGAGTGGGTCACCACGCCTGCCTCAGATTTCCTTTTTTCTACTTTGTTCTCTTTGTGCTTCGTCAGGGAAGCCATCAACTAATGGTATCCAGATAACTAATTTAAATTATGCTCAAGAACTGAGCATGGTGGCACACACCTTTAGTCCCAGCACTCGGGAGGCAGAGGCAGGCGGATCTTGGTGAGTGCAAGGCCAGTCTGGTCTACATAGTTCCAGGCCAGCTGGGGGCTACAGGGAGACCCTGTCTCAGAAAGACCAAAAATAAATAAATTAAAATAAATAAATAATGCTCTAAACTATCATGTTAGTAAGATAACAGAGATGCAGGTATATTTTTCAGCCTGGTGACCCACTTTGGAATAATTCTTAAAGGACAGTCTTGTCTTAACGTCAGCCACTTGTAAATAGTGCTTGCCACATTTCCAATAGGTACCCTCAGCTTTATTGTCTGTGGTGTTTCTGTCAACACAGCAGTTTGGGGGCAGTTAGAGGCTTCCTTCTTTCAATACGAATGAAAAAGACTTTAGTCTGGTCTGAAAGGCACTGCTTTTGTCAGGGGTGGATTTATGCAGATGCGAGCAAGGCCTTCAACTGGCACCTTTTTTTTTTTTTTTTTTTTTTTTTGGCCAGGTATACTATTCATTGCTTGCAAATCACACATGCAGGGGGCTGAGAAATGAAACCCAGAAATTCTCAGGGTTTAGTTTCCTCTTAGTCTTGGCTCTTGCCCCCTCTACAGGGAGGCTTCTCCAACTCCTTAACCCCAAACAGCACTTAGTGTTGCTGGCACTGTATTGTACTTAGTCATCTGAATCTATCCTCTCTTCTCGGAGTTAGAGATGCTGGGAGCTCACTGCTGTGTTCTCAACATGCCTTGCACACAGCAGACAAGGGCAGAGTGTGAGTCGAGTGAATTATGATCTCATGTTATTCTCGGGTCCTCACAGGCATGCCAAACCTACCTAAATAACTCTATTTCTAACCTTAAACCATTGTCCTAATGAATGAGGCTGTAATAAGAAAACAAATATGCCAAGGGCAGAGAAACAGTGGCCTAGAATTTCACCAAAGGCTAGCTAGCTATACTTTGTCGACAAAAAGAGAGTATGAGTATAAAGCAAACTTGATGCTAATTCTTGATTCTCCCGTGACCCTGAGGTCTTTTCTGTACCTTGCCTCCCTTTTTCTTTGGAAAACAGACTTCTTGGAGCTGGGGAGATGCTCAGTGGGCCATGTGCTTGCTGCGCAAACATGAAGGCTGGAGTGTGGATCCCCAGCACCTTTGTGAAATGCCAACCATTGCCATGTGGGTCTGTAGTCTCAGTGCTGGGGTTGTGGGATAGGTCCTAGAGGCTCACTAGCCGGTGAGCCTGGCTGAACTGACAAGCTCCAGGTTCACTGAGACCCTGTCTTAAAAATACGGTGGAGAGCACCAGAAGAAGACGCCACTATGGACCTCTGGCTCCACATGGTCATGCTAGGGCGAGCACACCTGTACACACGCAAAGTATGAAAAAACACAGACTTCCTTTTTACCTTTAAAGCTGAGGCTCTCCTGCTTTCTGAAAGTGTTTAATAACCAAATGCCAGCGACCTAGGGAGAATTATGTTTATGATTAGGTGTCTCTTTTTAATAGAAAAGAGATCACAGGCCCCAATATTTATTATGCCATCCCAGTCAAAGTTTGAGAGACAGCGGGCAAGCAGGTACGGCGGACAGTTTTAGTCTTCAGTGAGGGCATTGTGTAGGACAGCAGTTTGGTTCTCGCAACGTACAGACAGTAACTCAGAGTTACAAAAATCATACAGTTGTAGTAATTCTTTTCCAGATAAATAACCAAGACCTAGAGAAATCTCTGTAGTAAATCTGTCTCATCACTTCAAGTTTGTGCAAAATGTCTTACTTTCTGGTCCATTCTAAACATTTCTGTTGTATATCAGATTGGACTGTACACTCTAGGGAGATTACTGAACATTTGCAAGTTTTACTTAACTAAGTCTGTACCATTCCTAGGAAAGGGCTGTAAGGCAGATATCAACGTCTTCCTAGAGTTAATAGGCATTATGGAGGGTTATAATAAGTTGCAGCTTCACGAAGTCTCCAATTACTTTCTTTACCCTTTGATTATATTTAAAGCAACATGATTAGAGAGCACTGGTTCTTTAACATTGTCTACACTCTGTCCCTGTTATATTTATGACTCCAAACCTCCCAGCTACCCATCCCCTGCCCCCACCCCTACCTCCTTGGTGAGTGGGGCCATCTTCAAAGTACTCTGGTGGCCCTTGGCTTGGAGTTAGGAGACTAAATCGCTTAATTTTCTCAGTTATCAGTTGAGACTGGGCTGGATCACTTCTCCAAGCTGTTAGCCTTGTGGAAGTTCTGGCTCTAAAACTGCCTGGGTTTGGGTGAAGTCAACGTTCAGAACTTTTGAGGAAGGCGCACAAGCCAATTTTTCAAGTAAAGGAGGTCTTTTGGTTGTAGATACAGATGAAAGTGATAAGGTCTGTGGGTCTATCCCACGGTATCTCATCAATGCATCCCCCAAACTCCTCCACATCAAGTTGCCTGCCCCCAGATGCTCCAGTGCTTTTTGAATCTAAAACTTGATAGCGGATCCTGACAGTGATACCAAATAGGTTTATAGCTGTGCAGTTTTGAGACCTAAGCCCAAGTCGGGAGGGAGAATACAGGATCAGGTCTGGTACTCACCTGAGGCTTGCTCAGGTTTGGAACTGCCTGTGAAAACCAGCAGCCACCTTGGCCTGCTCCACCCTTCACTCTCAACTATTCTTGGACTTCTCTTACCCCAAGACATGCTGGACAAACAAATTCATGTTCAGCCTAACTAAGAGTCTGACCTTCTTTAACCGTCTATAGATCTGGGGTTTAACACAAACATCTTTAAGTTTCACTATGGAAAAGCTACCAAAATATTAAGAAATTAAGGATAAATCTTCCAATAAGTATTGAAGGAGCTACACCATGGAACATTATCTTAGTTATATAGGGAGCAGTTCTACATATATCATGGTCATGTTTTTAACTGAGAACTTTTTTTTTCTTTTTGTCTTTTTTTGAGACAGGGTCTCCTTGTAGCCCCAGCTGTCCTGGAACTCACTATGTAGACCAGGCTGGCCTCAAACTCACAAAAATACGCCTGCCTCTGCTTCCCAAGTGCTGGGATTAAAGGCGTGTGCCACCACGCCTGGCCTTTAACTGAGAACTTTTAAAGTGTATACACAGCATAAACATTTGAAGATATAAGGGCAAAGCACTGATGTGGTGTTAGGGAGGGCAGACCTATCTGAAACTATCATTTTAAGCTTATACTTATAAAATAACAAAGAGAGGTGCTCACTTCAGCAGCATATATCCTAAAATTGGAATAATACAGAGAAGATTAGCATGGCCCATGCACAAGGATGACTTGCAAAATAAGGGAGGATAGAGAAGTGTGAAGGTGACATTTGAGCCCTGTCTTAAAGGGCCACAAATAGTTGATCAGGTGCTCAGTTGAATGGGGCTGGGGCAGGGACTATGGAGCCATCAGAGGAACTGGAACACAAGATGGGATAGAGGGGATAGCCAAACGTAAGCTCGGGGGACACTAAGGTATCCCGGGGCAGAGACTGCATGAGTGTATGTGTGCCCTTGTCAGAGGAAGGTGAAGAGGTTCCTGCCAGGAACCCAGGAGACAGGATGGGAAGAGCCAGGAAGCTGGGACAGGTAGTGAAGAGCAGAGGTAGCAGGCCGGATCTGAGGCAGGAATTCCTGGGGGTAGAGAGCTGGACTGTGGGGTCCTAGCATGGTGGTGGGGATGGTGCTGGGCCCTGATATTCCTAAGAGAGTCGGCAGCTCCCTTGATTTACTTGAAAGGTAACTAAAGGCTGAGCCGTGATGTGAGCTCTCACTTGGAACAGCAAACCAGTGCACCTGGGAGGCTCACTCAAGACAACCTGAAGGTTTTACATCTCTAAACTCAAACTGTATCTTCCTTTGATGATCACCTTTAAATATAATGTTCATACACTGCAGGGTAAAAGAATCCAGGGTCCATCATTATGAAACAGATAGGTCCATGATCTTCAAGCTGAAGAAAGTCCATGAAGAAGACGTGGCCAACTGACTCCCACTATGGAGTCCCAAAGGGTGCTGGGAAGGTAGGATGTGAAGTGGAGGTGAGCAGTTTAGTTCATCTGTGTTTAGTACGAAATACCAAGGTAATAGTGCTTCATCTCAAATTTTAGTTTATAGAATATTTGCTGCCTGATTTCATCAACTGCATGCTCAAAACAATCTTTCCTGTTACCTATCTCCTTTTACTATTTGAACTCTCTATTGGCTAAGCATTGGTTTCCCACAAGGGAAAATCCAGCCACCCAGCTTTCACCATTGTGATCATGTGCTGTAACTAACCACGTATTTTCAGTGGGGTGTCAGCAAAGAGGTATGTCAAGCAGCCAGTTTCCAAAAAGGAAAAGGTCACCTGAGCATCCCATAACGTCTTATCTGAGGTCCCAAGGCCCTTCCTTCTGCAACGGTGGATTATATAGAGGGTGATGTTGCAGTGGAGCCCGGGATGTTTTGGCATCCCTTTTCTCCCTCATCTGTTAGAGCTTCCATCTTTGCAACACTGCATCCGCGTTAAAGTACAGAGAGTGAGTTCTTACCGCTTTTCTTTGGTCACATTTCCCTAATGCTCGATTTCTGGCTTGGTCCACTGGATACTTTGCCTGGTACACAGTGGGTCCTCACACCAGCAACCTGTTGAGTGGTGAATGACTGTCTTGCTCTGGTTTGATCCTCCACAGACTGACTCAAAACTCTGCACACTAAGTATCTGTATATATCTTACAATTAATTCTTCCATTTTTCGGCTACTCTATTTTAATTTGGACTTAAAGAAATAAGTGCTGGGGTGTTGCTCAGTGATAGAGATCTTGCTTAGTATGTGTGAGGCTCTTGGTTCAACCCCCAGCACCAAGAAAAGAAAAAAGAAAGCTGAGCAGACAAAACTGCTCAATGGGTAGAGGAGCTTGTGCAGACCTGATAACCTGAGTTCAATCCCTCCACCCTACCAGGTGGCAGGAGAGGACAGACTCCAGAGAGGAGTTGTTCTCGGACTGCCACAGTTGCCATGGGGTGCACACACACACACACACACGAGTAAAACATTTTAAGACCAACTAACTTGAAGGTCAATGTTCTAGTTTTTTGGAGGGTAGAGAGACAGGATCTTGCTGTGTAGTTTAGATGCCTAGAACTCATTGGGTAGCCCAGGGTCGCCTCGAACTGACAGCAATCCTCCTATCTCAGTCTCCCCAGTGCTGGGATGACATACTATATACTTCGTCTTAAAATTCTTTTAATAGCTAAAGGAAATTAATCAAATTCTTTGTTTAGGTCATGTCTTTGGCTTATGGGATTCAATATTAACTCAATTAATAGGTAATCCTTGAATGTCATTAGAAAGCTTAGATTTCTAAGCCATATAACCCACCCATCTCCAAACCAATACCCTCCTTCACCCTGTATTCCCAGTCTGGCTATGGTACCACCGGCATGCTCAGAACAAAAGCTGGTGGTCAGGTCTTTGCTCTGGGCGCCGCATTCTTGACACTGACACTCATCTAGTCACTTACCAGGCCTTTCTGGTTTTCAGTTGTCTTTAATTCCAGCTACTGGAGACACTGAGGCATGAGGGCTGCTTGAGCAAAGGGACTGGTGGTGAGCTGAGCAGCACAGGCTCTGGGGCTCTGCAGCTGCAGCCTCAGGAAGGTCCATGGGCCAGCCCACAGCAGCAGCACATTGTCAGGTGCTCCATTCATTCCCCCTCACTGGACAGCACAAGCCTGACTATACCATTTTCTCATACTTCACAATTTCCTCTTTAAAGTTACCTAACACTTTCCTGGGATAGTATTAAGGTTCTCTGCAAAGAAGCCTGTTGGTTTGCAGCCTACGTGATCCCCCAGTCATCTGTCACATCTCGCCTTTGGCTCTAGAACCACGTGGTGTTGCTTCATGACCCTTTGCCTAACCCTGCTACTTCTAACTTGGGGGCCTTTAGCTACTCAGTAGCCTGGCTAACTTCTACTTCAGGACTGAATTCAGGATTGGCCCAGGGAATTTAACATTCCCAAGGGTTGCCTCGCTGTTCACACTGCTCCAGGCTCCTCATTAGCCCTGGGACTGCTGTCTTATTCAGGCCAGCTCTGCCACCAAAATTTTGTGTTTGTTTCTTTTAGCATTCTGCTGGAATGATAAGATTTCCTTCCTGTGTGCATCCTCTTGAACAGCCCAGTGCCTCAACTGACCTGCTTAGCCTCTACACCAGTTAGGATGTCCTATGTGATGTTTTGGCTAATATTAATGGAATATAGATTTCATTTTAGTTTTGGAAGCACTAGAGATTGAATCTAGGACCTCACCAATGCCAGGCGAGTTCTACACCACTGAGCTACACTACCAGCACAGAAGAGTCTTTTTGAAAACTAGACCTTCTAGAACTTTCTGATTCTTTCAGTGTTCCTCAGGGCCTGCATTCTTCCTTGCCAGCTCATCCCAAATGGTTCCGCATTCAGCTATTCTCAGTGAGAACACGTAGGCTGGATGAACACAGGCCACAGCAAAAATGATTCGTCCTCCAGTGGTCAGCTAATAACTTGGGTTATATTCATCTTGTCTCTAGCCAGATGCTTGCCGGGAGTGCACAGTGTGGTGCATAATGACGATGGTCAGATGGAGAGGACTGGTTAGCATACTTAAGTTAGGTGAGGTGCAGAAGCCGCATGGCAGGGTGGACTCTTTCCCAATGGGTTACATGAATACCATACCCCAAAGCAGTGTTTGGTACACCCTTTGATACAATCAGCCACTAACAGCCTATTGCAGACTACACTGAAATAATTTTCCAGACACAAAAATCAAACGCGAAACCACGGGAGATGAGAAACATCAGTCTTAGAGCAGATGAGACAGTGAAGCCTGAAGTGAGCCTAATCAGAGCAAAGGGCGATCTCTAGTCGAATGGCAGAAGTGCCTCGCCTCATGGACAAAGAAAAAGAAACAAGGATTTTAAAGGGAACACGGGGTGTGCCTTCTTCACAGATGCCCAGAGTGGAGAAGTAGTTTGTTGGGGACATGAGTGGAGTCTGAGTAATGTCTGAGAAACTTCAGATATTATCCACGGACCTTTGGGGAGGCGTGTATCCTTGTGGTATTCCTTAGTTCCAGGAACTGGTATGGGGTCTTCCTATTTGGAGGAATACTTTGTGACTTAGAGACAGTGGTGGAATTGGTATAGAATATAGGGCATCAGGGGCTGGAGAGATGGCTCAGCAGTTAGGAGCACTGGCGCTCTTACAAAGAACCCAGGTTCAATTTCCAGCACCCACATGGTAGCTAACAACCATCTGTAACTCCAGTTCCAGGGGAATCTGACACCTTCTTCTGACCTCTGTGGGGATTGCACAACATGGGTGTACTTCATAAATGCAAGCAATACACTCAAACAGATAAAATTAAAAAAATACGGGCATGGGGCGCATGCCTTTAATACCAGCACTTGGGAGGCAGAGGCAGACAGATCTCTGTGAGTTCAAGGCCAGCCTGGTCTACATGGTGAGTTCCAGGCCAGCTGGGGCTACTGGGAGACCCTGTTTCAAAAAAGACA